AGTGACAATGACAGCGGTTAACAGTGGTAGCAGTGGGAAGTATTGTGACCACACTGGATCACAAGTAGCAGAGTAGTGAACTTGAGATTAGAGAAGAAGTCTGGATTGGAGTTCTTGTTTTTTTACAACGTAAAATACAGGGGCTTATATAGTAAAAGAAAGGTAGGCTATGCATAGTATAGCTGTGCAAAAAGAATGAGAAAGAACGTGAAGGAAGGAATGTACGCTGACGAATCCTGCGTAGGTAGTACAGGATAAGATTGTCAAAAAAAGGAAAAGAAAGGGATAGAATAATGAATGCTGTGAGTAATGTCACAGGTTTGTACAGCCATAAAGTAAAGTCCAATAGCAAAAAGAGAGCAGGAAAATCATGATGTCATGGGAAGATGCAGTAAAAAAAGGGCAAGGCAAAACACTATCAGTATCAACACAGTTCCTTTATTGTCAGTCAGGCATTCTAAAAAAATATGTGTCCATAAAAATGATTCAAAAATCAAAAATAATCGCACTGTAAATGAATGTTCTGCTGAAGAAAAAGAAACTGGAGCCACCGGTCCACCACCTAGTCCAAATCCGACAGTTCCATGGCCTTACCAATGGACTGGTTGTGTTGGACCACCTGATCAAACAAGGGAGGGAGAGGAGTAGTTCCAATTTGGAACAAGTGAGTCCCAGGCAGCGTGTGGTAGGTGTAGCTGTAGCGAAGACGATGGACAAATGATAAGTGTACCCAAGTGAATGGGACAGCGATGAACATGGGCGATGCAAGGGGATGAACCTTCTCCAGCTCAAAAACTACCCACCCACGCTCCAACCAGGCAAGACGAGCGACCGATGTTTTGATAGTATATGATGGCAGATCGACGTCATGAAGATGGACCTGTTGCCCTATTTGGACCGGCCGCCGGGGCTTTGCTGATATCAGCAGTGGCACGTGGTAGTCAACGGATCGGCGACGGAAGCAGATAGGAAGTGGTGACATCAGAAATGGTGGGGGTGCAAATAAGATGAGGAGGAGGAGGGTGGAGGTGACGAAAAAGTGGATTAGAATGGGGATCCAGAAACGACCGTCAGGTGAGAATAAAAAGGAGAGGAAGGGGCCCATGGTGGGGCTAGGCAAAGGAAGGGGAGTAAGGGAAACGACAAAAGCGAGGGCGCAATGCAATGTGTAGCCAGTGGCGACGTGAAAATTTGCCGAAATGCCGAAACACGGAAAGTACCGGATGGAAAAGCAAAGGTGAGCGTGACTGGATTGCCTAATAGAGGTGGTGCTGATCAGCCACAAGTTCAAAAAGGGCAATATTAATTACTATTCCACGTGGCACTGTGCCTGTGTGGCGCAAAGGTGAGTCTTTTTGAATATTTGCTTCATTCTCGACACCTGTCCATGCTACCAATCAACTTTGGTGCATGACGACGCGGCAAGTACCGGATGGAAAAGCAAAGGTGAGCGTGACTGGATTGCCTAATAGAGGTGGTGCTGATCAGCCACAAGTTCAAAAAGGGCAATATTAATTACTATTCCACGTGGCACTGTGCCTGTGTGGCGCAAAAGCGAGTCTTTTTGAATATTTGCTTCGTTATTGACACCTGTCCATGCTACCAATCAACTTTGGTGCATGACAGCGATTGGCTGTATCAGTAAGCCCATGGGAAGGCGCTGACTTACAACCTTCTTTGCTTATCAATATTCCTCCGAAGTATTCCTATTCCCAGACATAGCACTGGATTGTTGCTATGTCATTTGGATATCTTCTCGAGGGTCTACAACAGGTCTCCTTCATTGTAGGTACAATAGGATGTGAGTGTGAATAGAGAATAAGAAGAAAAAGGATAAAAGTAATAAAACACCTGCTGTAATCTCTAGTCCAAGGGCAAGAGGAGTGACAGGGATTGAGTCTGCTAACCACGACATAACGGGAATGTGATAAGAAAAATTGATTCCTCACAAGGCCCTTCAAAGGACCTTGGTCCCTAGCTTGTTGGAACTGGACGGAGGAGAAGTAGAGGATGAAAAGGAGCAGAGTAAAGATCCTTCAAAGAAAGATTGGAGAGGACTTAGAAAAGGACTGGTAAGGAAGCGAGGGAATCTAGTTGATATTCGAACTGCAGGAACGGGGTACAGGAGTTACAACTTATATACTGTTGGGGAAGCAGGAGCTTTTAAAGAGTAACTTGTAATGTAGAAGGGTTCCGTGCGGACAATTATCCAGCGAGAGGAAAATGTATGTGCGAGGAGTGTATTGTAAGGTCTAACTACAGAGTCCACAAGGAATACTAGAATGTGTGAGGAGAATGTATGGCGGACTAGAAGTTCAGTGCAGGAGTATCAGAGCGGACAACCAGAGTACCATGTGGAGAATGGAGCGTAGAGTTATGTCGACCGGCAGACCACGAGGAACATAATCCTGAGTATACCAATGGTTTGGGGGTTTTGGGCTCGGAGATGCTGGAGTTCTTCTTCCGGTACAGATATGACAGGGAGATAAAGAGCTGACATTGGTGTGAAAGCCTTTGTTAGCACCATTCATTTGCTAGGTGGTTTAGTGGTGGGGGAATAATTGGTACCAGTGGTGTACTTCAGGACACCTCACCACAGCTGCTTGTGGTTTGGCATTTGGGAACTATTAAAGCTGGGATGAGGGAGTCAATGTGAAGATTTGAGGTGATGGTAGAACCGTTGGTGGTATATATAATGGTATACTGGTATGATGACACACATAGCTAATGATTACCATATTAATCCACACTTACTGTGACTGATTTTTGCTAAGTCCATTTCGCTGAATTCATCTTGATACTCCAAATATCTGTTTGAGTCTGTAAAAATAGGCAAGTAAGCAAGAAAGCGACAATAAATATATTATGTGCAACACCAATGTTGATTATATATTTACATGTTTACTTTTATTTCGAAATTGCAACTTCTCACTGGGCATCATGATGAACATTTAGATAAGATTTGGAATGACTCAGCTGGCAGGATTCAATCAAATTTCAGGGAAATAGTCACACAAGGAATTATGTCACACTTGACGTGTTCATCATTGGACTGCAGCTTTGATTGTGAATCAAAGCTGCAGTTCAAGGATGAAAACAGTCTGGAAGATAATTAGAAATAATTTCAAAAAAATGCTGTGGATAAGGGTTGAATATAAGGAAGATATGAGTTTGAAATGTTTCATAATAAATGCTTAGGATCAATGATAATGCAATTTAGAGTGGATCCTCGGAGAATTTTATAATCATTATCTACAAAACATTCTCTTTATGTTGCCTGCCTCGAGCATGATTATTTTGTAAATATTTCCTATATAATATATGAGACAGTAATACAATGATTTTACTAAAAATTCCAGACTCAATGCTGTGAGGACAGGCAAATGATATTAGGGATTATATTTTAAAATTTTGCTTCATATTTTCCTTAGATATAAAGGGTATAGTTTTACAAAAAAAATCACTGTAAGATCACACTGCAACTCTAGCTAATATAAGTCAATCCCCACAGTGGGAGGAGGGTGGAGGTGACGAGGAGGTGAACTAAAGTGGGGATCCAGAAGCGACCTTCAGGTGAGAATAAAAAAGAGAGCAAGGTTCCCATGGTGGGGCTGAGTAAAGAAAAAAAGTAAGGGAGAACGATGAAAGTGAGGGCGCAATGTGTAGCCAGTGGCAACGCGAAAATTTGCCAAAATGCCGAAACACGGAAAGTACTGAATGGAAAAGCAAAGGTGAGTGCAACTGGATTTCCTAATAGAGGTGGTGCTGATCAGCCACAAGTTTGAGAAAGGCAATATTAAGTACTATTCCACGTGGCACTGTGCCTGTGTGGCGCAAAGGCAAGTCTTTTTGAATATTTGCTTCATTTTTGACACCTGTCCATGCTACCAATCAACTTTGGTGCATGACAGCACCACACAGACACTGTAACAACCAAGAGTTTGTATACTCTGGCGCGCAACTCAGACAAAGCTGTAAAGGTAGTGAGGGGAGTGGTTACCCTTTAGGATAGGACCGAGTTAGTTGTGGGTAGATAACAGGAGGACTCACTGAGGAGTCTCCTGAATCTATTGGGTATTTATATTACTACAGGTTATTTGTACATGTGTACTATACAGTTGATGGAAGTAGTGGCTGATGATGTCATGGGGCACAGCCCATGTGACCAGCTACACTGCATGAGATACTTGTATCTAAAAATAGAAAAGGCAGTGCAAAGCGAGAAGTGGAGTTTGAACAGTAATGGAAAGTGCCGCATGGCACAGGGTGTGAAAACTACAAAAGAAAGTTGAAGAGGAGAATGAAATGTAAAGGTCCGAAAAGTGTGTTATTGTAACATGAACTTGTATATATTATACCTGTTGTGCCATGTAATAAAAGCAGCTTTGGGGATAAAAACCAAGCAGATTATGTTACAACAGGACATTTACGTACATTATTTGATTTCAAATTCATGTATGATGGCAATTCAATCACTTCTGCCAAGCTGTGGCCTGCAGGCCCTTTTCTTGTAGCCAGATTTGCTTCTGTGCACAAAATGTTGAGTGAGTATCCTCATCTCACTTTGAACAATTTGTGTGCCATAGCTCGAGCACATGGCATTACAGTTTGCTGTCAACCTGTCAAAGACAAAGTGAGAATAGACATTTCACAACATACTTGTGCCAATCACTGTCCTGCATTGTGTATTGTCACGTTTCGCGAGCAATGTCGAGACACAGCTGGAAATGATGTACAGTGACATAACGATGCAGCACAGCAGTCCTTGCGTGCACGTCTTGATTGTAATGTTCATCGTTGTTGGAGTTGGTGTGCAAAACCAAGGGATTGTTCCTTCCAGTTTCCATACTTTGCCAGTCCAAGTGCAAAATTTGATATTGTACGTGAATGGCAAAGAAAGATGAAAGCCTTCGAAAACAGAAGTCTGTGTGGTGTGTGTGCACATGATAAGATGGATGACCTTGTTGAAAAGGTTCATCCCTGAGTTTGATCTGTCTTTGCTCAACAATAGATTTTTGCCACCACACACATTACCGAACAATTATGATATAGAACTTTATGGCAGAGCGATCTTGTATGCAAAAGGGATGGTTTCACCGTGGACACTGGATTGCATTTATGTGTTCCTCCTGTTCCTCCTTGATTTACAGTCTCGGCTCGAGCGTAAGTTTACTGCCGTCGCTTCGTCATGCTATTTCCACGCTGACAACACCTTTTCTCTCTCCCCAATTTCTTTACGAAACGCACCTGGAACGAGGCTAATGCATGAACCGCTATACTAAAGCATACACTCGGCTCAATCTCAAAAATCATGAACTCACGAGCTCTGATCAAATTTTGGTTGGTAGAAATATAAATTCACAATGCAACTACATGATTTTAAAAATATAATGCCGGACGTCGACTTACCTCAAAAATCGAAGCGTAACCAAACGACCACTGCATCTCTGGGATTTGAGAAAAGTTTTCACTCAGATGGCTGATGCTCAAAATCCAAGTCTCTGATAGCTCGAAGAAGTTCAGGTTTCAATACGAAATCCCTAAAGAACGAAGGGGGAAAGAAAAAAAGAAGTTATTTTATTGTTCATTCTCTGGTCAAATTTCACCGACCTGAATCCCGTCGAGTGAATCATAGGAAAGATTTTCTTTGTATTGTCACCCTCGACATCCATTGCTGTTGCATCTGCAGCACCCTTTGATGATGGTACTGCTGCGCCATTGGTGGAAAGGCCATTATCATCCACATAGTCAATAAGGTCCTCATTGCTATGAGAGACCATTTTTGTGGAGTTGTGTAGGGAGAAAGGTGGGTCGAAATCACAGGGAGAGGACTTGTCACCCTCACCATCAACTGCTGTTGCAACTGCGGCACCAATTGATGATGGTACTGCTGTGCAAATGTCATTCTCATCTTCGTAGTCGATAAGCTCCTCGTTGTCGTGAGAGCTCATTTTTTTGGAGTTGTGTAGGGAGAAAGGTGGGTGGAAATAATAAGAAGAAAGAAAGAAACAAGCGCCTGAAAGTCAAAAGAAGAGCGAGAAAAGGATGTGTCGCGCCATTGTTTGCGCGCGTTGGTAAACAGTCAAACACCGTAACCTTATTTTATCTCACCTGCGCACGGACCTCCTGGTTTCAGTGAGACAGTGATGCCAGCGTGGGGATCGTGCTTCAGGTGCTTGCCTGTAAGATCTCATTTGTAGTAGTCATGCATTACAATGATCTGTTAATGCTTTGCTCTGCCATTCAGCAGCAGAAAGCCCACAAAACGTCGCTTGGAACGACCACCTGATTTATCCATCAAATTACAGTGTATAAGTGGTAAGGAAAGAAGGGCGAAAAGAACTCTCAAAAGCCTTCATATCTATGCGAGGCCACCCAGCGCCCACCCAGCGTCCGCGTAGTGTCCGGCCATCATGGCTATACTGTATACCTGTATATAGAGCTGGAGGAAACCACAACATTCGGTCTTCCGTTACCCTGAGATAAACCCTCTTTTCTCCCTCCCACCAAGTGGTTTTCACCTGAAGAGCGAAACATCGCTTCAAAATACTCAGGAGATGGGCAATTATCCTTTCTGGTACGCAAACACAGTAGTTGGTTTGAATCCGTCTCTCTACTGACGCACAAGCTGGTTTCAGGCTTGGAGGTTAGCTTGTTCATACAAGTTCTGGAATGTAAATGCAGGTTCTGATAGTTTCATAATTTTCTTGTCATGGCAGGAGTTGCAGCGTCGCGTGCGTTTTTCTCCAATGTCTTATCTCAATAAAATAACCAGTGTATTAATTGCGTGCTGTAGTGGCCGCATGTTGTACACATCCTCTGGACTTGACGAAAGTGTGAGTCGTGCGTTTCATTCCAGCGTATAGGTCCAAACCGTGTCTACGATTCAGTCGCATGCAAACTATACCATCCACATCCGGAACGCGTCCTTCAGCATTTGCCCTTATCCGTGCTTCCGTTGCAGAATCTGGAATCAGCAGTCTATACACAGGACTCACTGCTTCGCTCCTTCGGCAAATGACGTACTCTCTAGTTCGCATAGGGAGTTACGAGGAGATGAAGCGTCGTCTGGTTGAGAATGGTTCGGCATCTACGGGCAATTTGCTGATGGCTGCAGCTGTAGCTGGCGGACTCGGAGGCGTAGCTGGCAATCCTGCAGGTAGGTGACTGTCTATCCATGTATTTCAACGCGCCTGATGATTGGTCTTCATGTTCAGATATCTTGCTTGTAAGAATGACCAGTGATTCCATACGACCGCCAGACAAGCGATATGGCTATAGAAACGCGCTATCTGGTCTGGTTTGTCTCATTAGAGAAGAGGGTATCAAAGGATTAGGTCGGGGCATTGGAACTAACACTGTGAGCACGACCTGCATCACCCGCTGGATAATACTTCTGACGCTCTGATACCTCAAGACGCGGGCAGTCTTAATGAATGTACGTTCGCCAAAACTCATCATAACAGCTCATTGTTGATGTTCATTACCATGAAGGGTTCTCAGATGGGGTCGTAAGTGTGGTTTGACGTGGCTTGCTATAGTCAACGAACTCATTCTCACATCGACAGCTATGACTTCTTTAAAACGACTCTCCTACGGCAACCCATACCAGTTCTCGACTTTCAATTTCGCGACAACATCTTAACGCATGTCGTGGCGAGTTGCCTGGCAGGAACTTTTGCTACTAGTACGTCTTATACTATAACAGGTAGTCGTTTGGCCCCAGTAAAGTCTGACATTATATGGTCAGCTGTTTGTTCTCCGGCTGACGTCCTGAGGACCCGCGTCATGTCTTCAGTGAGCTCTTCCTTCTATACCGCATGATACAGCCTTCCTCATCTCTTTGAAGAGCGGAAAAGCTAGCCCAATAGATGTTCTCGTTCGCTCGCTGCGAGAAGAAGGGCCTGCCTTCCTTTTCAAAGGATGGACACCAGCATTTATCCGCCTAGGACCCAATACAGTATTAATGTTTGTTTTCTTCGAGGTAAGCAAAGGAACATCGTGTGTACAATAATTGTGTTTACTCATTGGATCTCTGCAGCAACTGAAAAAAGGATGGACCCGTCTCACTACCACGTCGTAATAACATAACATTCACTGCACATACTCCACACTGCAAAGGATACAAATCAGGACCAGTTTTACATACTAGACCATGATACCCTACCAGTGGATCGTAGATTACTGGCAGTACCCATTATCACTAGATCATTTCATCAGTACTAGACTCATCCTATAACTGGATGTATATGTATCTATATTTTGTCAGAAATACCGGATATATTCTTGTTAGCTGACAGGATGTCTCATATCAATTAACAAATAAAAATGACTGAACAATTGTCTATAAAGCAACCGTAGATAAAAACAAACATGTTTAACTACCAAATTTCAACCTTCGTTATAAACGATGATCTTCTCCAGGTCTCCTGCGTAACCTAAAGGGAGGCGGCGTCATCAGCAATTCTAGAAACCGTGATCGGACAACATACTGGATTGGTTGGCCGCAATCAGTAAGGAGTTTGCCCCCTCCTCCAAGTAGAGTTTCACTGGGACACTGAGGAACACGTCTACCCCTCCAGTGTTAGGTTGGTTTACCGACACAGACGGTCCGCCGTTGACACTGCGGAAATGTCAACACCCTCGGAGTACAGGATTACATAGATTTACCCACCTGACAGTTGTGTTCCTCCACGTACTATCTGCATTAGCATAGTACAAGGACACCCATTGCCCAGCACCGTTACCCTGAATGTTGCTCAATGTTAGCGTACCACCGTTACCTATGGCACCACCAATGGGTTAATGAACTTGATCCTCTTGGAATATACGGATTGAATTACCAAGCCACCCAACTGCAGAGTTATTCAGGATTTCGGCAGTACCTCCCAGAACCCCGTCCTCTGCTATGTATGTAGTTCCAGTAGCTACGGAATAAGTGCCTACGCTCACAATGATTATCCTTTAGAAATCAGCATTCCTCGCAGATGCAACGAAATTGACCTTGTTCCAAGTCTATACTCCAAACGTCAGCCCAAACAAGTTGAGGAGCACCTGACGACCAGTCCAGAGGTAGCCATATGTAGGAGCTATTTCCTAAGAGTTCCGGCCACCATCGATCACCCATATAGATTGTATTATTGCCCAGTGGAAGATCGTAAGCGTTCTGAGAGAAGTATGTGTTCGTGTCTTCTGGAGCTATATCGTTCTGAGATGACCAATTAGACGAAAGAGTCTGTAGGATAACAATTCACATGTCAAAGAAATGTGGACATCAATGATAACAAGGCACCCACAGGAGCGGAGAACCATTTGTTGGGGTTAGGTGCCCAACCAGATGTGTGTGAGGCAATGAGATAGTAAGTCTAAGTAATAATTAGCAACAAATGGGGAGTCGCCAAAATGTACGAATATTTACATTGTTACGCTTTACGATTCCTGGTGCTTCAAGGTTCGAGTCTAGTTAGAGTATTTGAGTGGTGCGGATCTTCATCAACGCGAAGAGAACTACTGACTAGGAATCTCGCTGACCATAGCCGTCACGTTATAGTAGTTCGAATCGAGAACTGAAATTTTGAAGTCCACATTGTTGTCGGAGGCGTATAGGAGGTAAGCTGTCTGATCGGCTGTAAATGAAGACGACTGGGTGAGAAACTAATGGAGTCTGATTAACTATGTGAGTATCATGCACTCACGATCATCTGTACAGAAGTGTTCTATGTTATATGACAAGTCACAGCTGAGCCAAAAGGATTCATACCATCTTGGAATATGCTCTCATCTCTAGAATCGGCACCAAGAGGTTTCCAACTAGCCTTGTAGTCATAAGGGCCACAGGGCGTCTCCGAAGTAGCAACACCAACCATAGCCGCTGAATAACTGCAGAGGTGTTTTCGTTTAGAATTCAAGAGGAAGTTTATGCATACTCAGAGTTATCAGAGTGGAACCACATCACGTATTCAGAGTTCTTTACAGATGGTGAGCAAGCAGATAACGAAACTGGAGTGCTTATTTATACCTTCTTGTTATATATCACTGAACAACAACTCTGTCAATAATCCAAGGTTCTGACATATGGTTATAGTAATGACAGGCATACCCTTGGGACGTTCCACGATGTCCGCAGCTGAGATCATTGTACCGTTGACGGGAGTGAGGGCATCGTTCTGACGCTCCCAATTCAAGAGATCAGTTGACTGTAGTACCGGATCATATATGATCATGTTCAATTGAAGTCAATATCTTAGCTGAACACGGTACATACACTGTAGCACGGGACAGCTTCAAATAGAGCACTGTTGTCGGTTTTGTCTTCTCCAAACCAATAGAACGTATTGTCTACCTGATAAAGTATAAAACCTGTTTGAATCAGTTATCTGAAATTCGAAAGATGCGGTTTACCTTCAAGAGTCCCGTCCCATGGGCTTGGATTACATTGCCGTTGGTATCTGTCCATGCCGCGCCAGGGACAATCACATTCTCTGCACGTGTCAAAGAGAGTAGAATCCCTAGAGTCACTGTTCCAAATCCCAATGATGGTCTCATATTAGAGATGGAGTGAATAATTTTTAACTGGGACAATCCCTTCCTACTTATACCCCTTTGCCAAGAATTCCGTCCCGAAATTGTCCCCAGACATTACGGAGCCTGACAAAGGGAAGGGATGTCGATTCCTTGCAATTAGAAATGGAAGGCACCGTGTACTTGTTAGTCTCTTCCAGTGCATTCACTTAGAGTGAAATTACTCACCTGATCGCAGCTACACTTCCCATCCCAGCATCTCTCGTCCTGATTTTTTCCCTAAGGAGGCCGTCGCCATATGACTGAATCGTAACCTGTGGAAGGACGGCGGTCACATTACCCAAACCCGTACCAAGAAGCATGGGTATCTCCCGAGCAGGCACCTTGATCAATCGATGCTAAGTTAACAGAGGGATGTAGCGGTCTCCAGCGGGCCGCCGGTTATGGCCCCGTGCACCATATAGTAGCTCTCATATCTCCGTAACAAAGATGAAAATGCAAAAAGGCTAAAGGATGAACAGAATGACGCGTACGTTGTTGCGTGCACTGCCGTCACTGATCTTTTGGAAAGAGTAGAACAGAAAATATACTTACATACTCGTATCAACCATTGGGTTTGTTTGACATCGCACATGAAGTAATATTTGTTGTAGTAGTACGTCCAGGTTCTCATGACTCGGACCCAGAGTTGTATTTGGTTTCCCCCCTCTTCTCCACCTGTCCAGACCTTGCACCCGGGTGAACCTTTGTTCTTTGGGCCACCTATTTGGACTGCGTAAGATGGCTTCTTATCAATGGTTGTAACACAGCCACATGCGTTCAATAGTCTTGCAACTGCAAGCCTGAGGTGTGATGGGTCAAAATAGAGGACTTTCTCCCACTGCAGAACATTAGTTCATCTCCGTTCGCCGCCGAATCGTAGCAGCAGATGGACGGACCTTGCGACAATCTATTCCGTAGTAATGAGTCAATCGTTATTATTCATATTAAGAATAAAGTACTCAATTTCCCATCGCCCTGTTCAATTGCTTCGATTCCCCACTTAAAAATGTCAAATGCACCGTGAGCCTTCTGATATTCATGGCATTGCGAAGGTGGTTGATGTTCAGACGCGAAAGTCCCAAAGACAATGCCTACCAGTAAAAAGATCCTATAGAGAGGGAGTGTTTAATGCAAAATTGATTGGAAAAAGTGCACACTAATCGATGGAATAGCACAGTAGACGAATGTTTTCGGCCATAGCAGGAGACACAACGTGGGGGCATCTAGGTGTGAGTAGCCATCCTCAGACAATGAGAAGTGATAGTCTGTCAAGGCGCATTGTCCGTCGAGAAGTTAAACATAGGAAGCGATTGCTAGAAACAAAGATCTCCATTGCCCGAAGAAGATCTGGAGTCGGATGAGCTGAATCTTGCAGTCTTCTTCCCGCAGACATAAGCACTAAATAACATAATAACATGAACTTACATGTTAGTCTAAGGTGGTTGAAGTGATCTATGGCCATGCCACGAGCTGTTGGAGATCTGCTTGTTTGGAGTTGTTGAGAATCCCTAAGATTCCTTCAACCTAGCGAGCACAATGTCAGTTTTCAAGGTCAGTATTTCAAGACAAAGGCAATCTGCAAAGCGACAACTTTGGCTTGTCTTTGATAACATTACAAGGGGGTTTAGATATCCAGCGATCGTGGAGGACAGACGCTGAATCAAACAAGGCCAGACAATCCCGTTAGATCACACATAAATGATCACTAATAGCATCATCCCTCTTTCCTTACATTCTCTAAGGCACTGTTTATTTATTAACCTCTCCCATGTATTTCCTTGAATGAAAATACCCACTTGTAAGCAGTTACAATTCCCATCCCAACCTTCGTCCCGATATCTCCTGAGGAAGACGGCGACCAAGCACAATCGAATCCCGCCCCGTGGAAGGGAAACGGTCACATTACTTAAACGTGTTCCAGGCTTGATGTTGACAAAGTTTGAATATGGTTATATTTTTGACAGTCTCCAATTGGCCGCTTTATAACCAAGTGCAGTGACTCTCAGCGCTCTGTGAAAAGGATGAAGGTTCAACATTCAATACGGAGGCATCGCAATGACTCAACAAAATGACGGTTACGTGAACTTCTGCCGCCGATTTTATGTTAAGAGACCAAAAGACAAGAAACCCACATACTCGTATTATCCATGAGAGATATTTGAGGCCGCATATAATGTAAATTTTTGATGTAAAGACAAAATGTGAGTGTAGTGTAGCGGAAGTACGATACTAGAAATAGAAACTTCTTGCTCACTCGACAACCAGGCATTACATGTCCTAGGAACCAAGAAGAAAAGGCAATATGAGAGATATACGTATGTCAATGTCCACGACCTCTTCAAAGACCGCAAAATATTTAGTGTTTCCAGATTAATGTTCGAGCAGAGAGGATATCGCATGTTCCGGTATAGCAGATTCCGTTGCAGGGGGGTATGCGGCGATTTGCCTTTCATTACTTTCTCCGGTGTCAACTCTTGGTTTTTTCATGATAAATGCAAAAGCCCAGCGAGATAAACCACGCAAGACATCTGGCCGATGTGAGGCGGTTGTCAGCAGTGAAGCAAGGGAAAGGATGAATATCATGCTATGACGATGAAATGTCATTGGCTGCCATATGGACGGAGTACTATATTACGTACCGTTCCACGATTCTTGCACCTCTATTTCCACCTTTGATCCAGCGGGAGGGAAGAGATGCTCTGAGAGCTCTAGGTAAGACATAGAGAGAAATTTCCCCTCTTCGATGTCCATTTTCTATCCAGATGCTGGCACCACAGGTCAGGGATCCAGCGAGGACGCATCCAAACGCTCCATCCCAGATATCGTGTGAGATCCAGGGAAAGAGCCTCGCGAACAGGAGAGTACGTGTGATACACACAGAAAGCCAATAGGAAGAGACGAAGGTAGAAAGAAATGCTGAACTGCGCATCGCGGAAAGTAAGGCAGGAATGACGCGATGGATGCGAAGGAGGGAACGTGGCTGAGTTAAAAGGATAGGTAGAAAATGGACCTAACGATATTGTGAGTTACAATCTGGAGCATCGATATCCAGAAAAAATATCACTTACAGGGACATAGATTGCCATTGCTTCAATGAACGCATACACAGCCCTGACGACTGCATTCATACCACAACTCTCACCAAGTCCCCACTTTGCTGCGACACCGGCATGTACTAACTCACACGGTAACCCACCAATACCGTCTCTGCCTTGTACACCTAGATTCTTCCAGACTGCATCTGCCATCGATCCCCCATATGCAGGTAGGACATGGGGATCTCCCCATGCGGTAGGATGGCCGAGATCCTTGGAGTAAGAGGTAAGGAGATGTCCATAGTCAGAGGAACCGCGAATATAGGACCATTCTCCAGTGCGAAGGACACGAAGCGCGCGCAGTAGCCGTTTATCAACGTTAGCAAGTGACATTATCCTGAAAATATATATGGGTTATTGATAGCTCTTACCAGAGCACGAAGAAACCAGACCATTTGACATAAGATCGAGGTAGTCTGATAACAAGGTGTATGGGATTTAGTGCACGATGCTCAACATGTCAAGAAATACAACTTGAAGTACCTGTTGGGACGATAGAAAAAGCACCACATAATTCTTTACAAAGACTATAAGCGATTGATAGAGATTCCTTAAAGATGAACACGAACCTTGCGCTACATGCCCAAAAAACTAAAGCATCGATGCGAGTTGACATTTTCCGACGCCAGGCCTTTTGGCTTTTAGTTGTTTCCTCCGACAGGATGGTGGACGATGACCCTTCTGCTGGACTCAAATATAGATCTGATCTATTTGATAGGAATGCCTGAACACATGCATCTAAGGCTCGAACAAGAAACAAGAGGGTCAGATCAAGCGTGGGTGAAGGTCGAGATAGTCCAGAAGCTGAAAGCGTTGTGGGGGAGAGTTGTGAGGCACGCTGTCGACCTTTTTGCAAGAGAATAATCGCCAAGGAAGATGAGAGGGCATTGACAAGGAAATCTTTGCGAAAGCGCGTCAATTTCACTGACGGTAGACACGCCCGAAGTGTGTCTAGTGTTCTCGAAGCAACGGCAATAATTTGACACGAACTTTGAGAGTCTCGATTATGATATTTTGCTGTATTGTTCGCAGGCATAGGGTGTGTTCGGATCTCATCCAATGCCTTCCATATCCTCTGTAAGACAGCCCCACCCCCGACTGCCACAGTGAGAGCAAAAGCAAAGCCTGTGGGACCGAGCTCTCTTGTTAGAATACGCCTGAGATCTCTTTGTTTATTCTTCGATCCGCGCGTAATAAGATTTGTAACAAAAGGCAGAAGAGAAGGACCAAGAGACAGGAATAGGCAGAGAGTGTAAGTACGCAGGGCCACCTGTCCTGGATGATTCGGGTCAGCGGACACGCCTTTTGTCAGCGAACCGATGACTGTCCTCCAAACATCTGACGCTGGTCGTCGTACAGGTGCCGGCGGCGATGTCGAGGGCGACATTAGAGTCTGAGAGAAAGGTTATTGAGGAAATCATATGATTATTATGCCAGCCAACTACGGTGCGGTGGTGGAAAAATTTGCTATACTTGTACGTAACCAGGCTGTATGCTCGGTCCATGCCGCTTTGAGCCTATGATATCGGTCACCTCAGAAAATACAGATATCAACTGAAAAGCATATACACGCGCTACCTGGCAGCAACGTCTCTTCAATTTCAGTATGGACGCTTTTCAACTGTTATGTCAAGGCGGAGTCCAATTCGACAGACAGAAATTCAAGAAGGATATAGAGTTATTCAAGGTAATGTGTACCGGACCTCTGAGCAGTCGTACAATTAACCATATGCGATCATCTACTGGTTTCAGGCCCCTCAAAAGGATACCGGAAAAAGTGTCTCTGTTGCGGGTGGTTCAGGGCTTCCTGCAGAACTCGATTTTTTCAAATACGCGAAGGGCGGGACAGGCAAGCGGAAAACTTCAGACGGCAGTGATGAAGAGAAGATAGATGATGGAGAAGGTCGGAAAGGAGAGGGTAAAAGGCGCAAGGTCGATGACGAGGGAGATGGAGATGGAGATGACGAAGAACAACAGATGCCACGGCACCGCGTTACGACTAAAGGCTCGGACGTCCCAGAACATATCGAAGTATTCGAAGCACTCCGTGAGCGTTATCACACCCCTGGTCGTCTATTATCGAATCTTTCCGACAACAAGTATAAGCATCCAACTGGTATCCAATCATATGGTATACCAATACTACTAGAGGTTAGTAATCCCAAGTAACGCTGAAGTAAATTTTGACAAATGTATCGCAGGGCCGAGATCTTGCTGCTATCTCACCCACTGGAACGGGTAAAACCCTGTCCTACCTTGTACCAATTGTATCAAGCCTGGGTAGACCCATATCCAGTGCTAAAAACGACCAAGGGCTCGGTGTTCGTGCTGTTATCATTGCACCCACACGAGAATTAGCCCATCAAATTCACAACGAATGTTTGAAGTTGACTGTCGGTCGAAAATGGCGTGTTGTGCTTTTCAGCAAAGCTACAGCCAGTACTCTCGCTGACAAAACCGTACGAGATAAAGTAGGTGAGTCGTCTGAGAGTTCCCTCCCCCCAGTATCATCGATTTAACTTTAATTTTGGATAGACATTATCGTCAGCACGCCACTTCGTTTGGTTGCTTCCCTCCAAGCAGGCAATCTTAATCTAAACAAGTACGTCATCTACTTTATTGATTCTCAGGAGCTAAAGTTTATATAACATTTCCCTCAGCGTTCGGCATCTCGTTTTAGACGAAGCAGATCGATTATTGGACCCAGAATTTTTGTCGCAAGTTCAAGAAATAGTTGCTGTGTGCACGTACCCGAACATTCAAAAGGCAGTTTTTAGCGCTACGCTTCCCGCAGGTGTAGAAGCCCTTGCAATGGGTATGCTGCGCAATCCTATTCGCGTTGTGGTTGGCCTCAAGTTTGTCAAATCCTCATGGTTCGCAGTATATCTATTGACAAATAGGCTTTTATCAGGGACACACCCTTACCGCTAATCGCACAGACGCTTACATACGTCGCCGATGACTCGTCGAAACTTCCCAGTCTCCTCACGTACTTCGCTCAGCCATACAACCCCCCAGTACTAGTCTTTACATCGACGCAGACTCGTGCCACATCTCTCGCAGAAGAGTTGGTTATGAATGGGTTACCTAATGTTGATTGTCTTCATGCGGGTATGACCAACAAAGAACGAGAAGATGCCATTTCTCGGATGCGTAAAGGCGAGAGCTGGATTATGATCAGTACAGAAGTAATGGCACGAGGAATGGATTTCAAAGGTATAAGGGAAGTTATCAATTACGACTTCCCCACAAGTGTACAGAGTTACGTGCATCGTATTGGTAAGATAGTTGACTACATTCGATCACGTCAAATACTGAACGATCGTCAGGTCGTACTGGTAGAGCTGGTCGCGAAGGAAAAGCTGTGACGTACTTCACAGACGAAGATGCACCGTTCCTGAAATCGTATGCACTATATACCTCTTTCAAATTTTGACACGTGGCGCTCACGATGTAACTTATCCAGTATTGCAAATGTGCTTCTTCAATCCGGTTCCACTGTACCCGATTGGATACTTAAAATGCCGAAGCCGTCCAAGCTGAAGAAAAAGCAGATGGGTAAGGTGAAGCGTGCGGAGATGGTGAATACGGCTCGTAAAATTGGACGAGGCGATGCAATAAAGAAAAGGTGGGCTCGTGTAAAATACGTGTATTCATCCAAGCTTACCACCCCATTTGCAGAGACATGATTTCGGGCTCGAAAAGACGAAAAGCGAAAGAAGAAGGGCTGAAGGGCAATGTTTCTGCAGACTAAGACAGCGGCTAACCTGCTGTTTGTGATTATCTGCCAGTATTTGATGTAGCACAGAATCGCCGTTTGACGTTAGGACCAGATTTATCCCAACAATGGAATTTCTAGTGCTGTCGTGTCATTGTATAAGCTTTAAGTTTGATGCAGGCAGATGCTATTGGCGCGCTGACTATCTGTCTATAAGTACCAAACGCAAAATGAAGGACTATTGTGCATCACTATCACTATCACACCTGCGTGTAATCACCGTAGTAGACTGAGAACATCTGACCGGAAAAAGACGCGAGATCTGTGAATGGTCAAAGAGAGATCACCCCTCGCTATGAGAACGTTATGCAGCGGGTTCCTAAGGAGTGACTTCTGGAACTGTCATGTTGACATTGATATCAGCTCGCTGGGAACAAAATTTTATTGGAGGCTTTCCACGAGGCCATGATCTGTGTAGACGAATTAGCGGTCAAATAAATCGGCAAATTTCCAAAAAAAAAATCGCACAAAGAGCCATCTTTAAAGGGTAATTACACGATGCCATCTACAATTTTCGTCGTTCAACAAACTCCCTCGAAGCGGAGGCAAAAGTTTGCTTCCGTTTCTTATGCTGTCAATGTAACGATCACAGAAACCTGACTATCTAGATTGGCCATGACAAAATTGGCATACATCTCATCTTTCAAGCCTCGAGGCGGCCTCGAGGTGATTATACTCAGAGGATGTGCATCGTCGAGTGCACGATAGTATGGGTGAGTTCTTCGCGTCCAAAGACTTCAAAAGGGGGAGGAGCTGTAAGGTAACTACAAACCCCAGCGTTTGTTTGTCTTTCAGCTCTTCCACCATCAATATCTGACTGGCCTTCCCCGTTTTCCAATTTAACATCCTTATCCTTAACCCTCAAGATGCCCGTAGTACGCAACGTTCGCCGATCTCGACGTCTTTCCAGACAATCCCCGCAGGGAGGTAAGTGCCTTATTTGGGTTTGTGGGTCCACATCGTTCTTAAAGACCTGCTTCTTTGGGCTATAGAGGATGGATGGGAGACGTTCGAACTACTCTATCCGAGCCCTGAACCCGAATCTCTCATATCAGCAGATGCCATCCCGCCATCTCCATCTTCCTTCACATCTTCATACAACGAGCACGCTACCTCATCTCAGATTACCCTTCCAACGCTTCCTCGATCATCGCATTCTCGCAAACGCACCGATGGGCATGTCCCTCGTCCCCCCAACGCCTTCATGATCTTTCGCTCGGACCTCTGGGCAAAGCAGAAACTAAAGGCATCCGTCGAACGCGACCACAGACATGTCAGCCGGATCGCTGGCCACTACTGGAACTCTCTTACCGAAGCCCAGCGCGCTCCGTACAGGAAAAAGGCTGAGACCGCCAAAGCTCTCCACGCGGAGATGTACCCAGACTACAAGTATACCCCTGTCTACCGAAAGCTTAAGGGGGCTAAGAGGAAAGTGAGGAGGGATGGCGAGGACGACGAAGAAAGGTGCAAGAGGCTGGCCTCTTTGCTCATGAAAGGAGTACAGGGTGATGCGCTGGAAAAGGCAGCCCGTAGGATGAAGCAGGAAGACGACTCATCCTCTGAGGATGAACCTGAAATCAAAACCCCAGGTCCTTACGAATCTCTCCCTGTTCCTATGAACATACCGTCCTCTTCGTCCGCCCAGAAAAAACCACGCCCTTCCCGTCCTCGCCCCGCTCCGAAATCGTCAAAGCGACAAGCCCCTCTCGAGCCCTTTTCGCCCATGCCATGCGACATCCTCGAGAATGCAGAGACCACCTACGTCAAGTTAGAGTGCCCACCATCTCCACAGTTGACGTTTCCGGCCTTGGCGCAATCGTCCAGCACTTCTCTGGGCGGTGGTTTCGTTCCCATTGCGGATATCCCGCCCCTTGACCTTGATGGCTCTGGTAATGTCAAAGAGGTACGTACTTTAGCCTAGGGCTCCCTATGATCATTTCTCATCACTTTCTTCGTAAATTCTTATAGGAATACCTCCCCAATCTTGTCCCTGCCAGCCTCGAACCAGCCTACAACACGCACCTCGGCATCAAACCAGAATCCATCCAGTCAATCGACTCTTACATGCTAGCCAACTACGGCGTGCAGCCCGCTTCTGAATGTTATCAACAATCCTTCTATGTTCCGAGCCCCGTCATCAAACCCGAGGACTATAACTTTGTCAATTTCGTGGATCCTTTCGATATGTCAAACTTCTGTTCGGATACGCATTCTGTTCTCGCAGAACTAGAGCAGATGTTTGCACCGATCCCTCCTACTGCTACTTTCGAATCAGTATTCTCAAATACCATGACTCTTGACGAGCCAGTGGATACCGATCTCGGTCTATGGTTCAATTACGATCAAATCTAGATTTACCTTACAACTTGCTCTCCACACCATATCGCGCTCTACCCGCTTTCAAGGCTCTCATCACATGTGAAATACTTTCGTCGTCATTCCATATACCAAGTTTTCGTGGCTCATCTCTTGTATCTAGTACTGCATCAGTCTCGTCTTGTATAGTTGTACATAGCACAGGCGAGAGGCTGATATTCATATATTGTCGTTACTTCACAAACAATGTATAGTGAGAAAATTTTAATTTATATATCGAAAATGATCTATCGCTTCACCTTCTTTACAGAAAGATTTTGGTCACTAGTCTGGGTTCTCTTGTTTCCTACTACAGAGGCGGTCAACTCGTCAACATCAATTCGACCCGCTGCTTGTTCGGCTTGTAACCAGGCTATGCAGTCCACCTTGCTTCCACTCGGATGTTCTAATTGCCATTCCATAACGCGAGCGAGAATGATGCCTGTCCAAGGCCCAGCTTTATTCCCACCGAGCGCCTGCACAACTTCTTGTCCCTAGATAGAAGGTACATCATTAACAGGGGACTTTTGGAATAATGTGCTTACGTTTACAATATGCTTAGCATCCACAGCCTTGTCCAGACCTAGCATCTCAACTCTGGATACGAAATCATTATATTGCTCAGTGCGTATCGTCGCCTCTGTGGCTTTTTGATGGAACTAAATGAGGGGATACTTCGATGAAGCTGAATAAGCCTACTGACCATTAAAAGTATTATCGGAAACGTCATATAATGGCGCTATTTCACAGACGAGAGAGAAAAGTAGCGAAGATGCCCAGTGCGATCCAGTGTGTATATTGTGTACAACTTTTTCTCGGAGAAGTGAGCCTGTTCACGCACGAGCATAAGGGGGTGTACGGGGAGCGACACAGACGGAAAGTAACTATCTCACCTATGACAACTCGTTCTGACGGCATACCTATTTTACTGATGGGGTCCTTCAATAAATCTGCTGCCGCAAAAAGCGACGGGATTCCATCCAGGTAATGGTTCTGCTTCCCTAATTTGAGACCTTCTTGGAGAACTGCTTCAACTGCCAAATGCTGCCTTTTCTTCTTATCGGTATACGTAATTACATGATAGGGGAACAATGCTGATGCCAGGTATAGTCGAGCGGCATTTCCGACCACGTCACGCGTGGCGTGTAACAGAGTGGGATGTAGAGGTGGTAAATGCGATGCCGATATTGATGTCGAATCAGTCGAGATTAAAGCATGGAGAACGCTTGTAGCTGCCAAAGAAGAGTCGAGATGCGAAAGAGGGGCGGACATGATTTGCATAATCTCTGGGGGTATCGAGAATATACAAGAATATAGTGAAAGCTCGTGGATGAGCTTGATTGAACGTAAAGGCTTGGGCCCTACGCGGTACCTTATTAGCCAAGGAGAATGCTGCTTTTGGTTGACGAACAAACCTTTCATCATCTTATCGATTTCTTCACCCACTCGCTCTCGACTTATTTTCACGGAAAGAGCTTCCTTCGACGCAAAAATTCATGACGCTGAACACGTATATGTTGCGATACCGAAAATTCAGCATACCTGGATACCTGGATCTCGTGCGGCTTCACGCAGTTCCGGGACCATTTCGAAACCGAAACGGCTAGCAAATCTAATACACCTCAGGACACGTAAAGGATCGTCCCGGAATGTTTCTAGAGGCTCCAGTGGAGTACGGATTATGCCGTTCTTCAAATCATCCAAGCCCTGGGTGCAATTGAGTACTTATCAAATCGCGAGCGGATGATCTCACTTTGTTCGTATGGTCCTCGACAGCACGGTCGTGAACATTGTAGAAAAGGGCATTGATAGTGATATCCCTTCGCAGTGCATCTTGTAATGGTGTCCCGAAAGCCTACAATAACCGTAGGCTGATATCAGCAAGCTATTTTCCATTTACTTCGTGACAACTAACCACTTCTGTAGGAATCCGACTATTCTCGGCATATTCCTCACTGCGCAAGTTGACAAAGTCGAGCTCAACACCACATAGAGTCGTCCGCGCGGTCTCGAGATGTTTTGACTGACCAGGATTACTTTCGATCTTTGCAATCTTGTGTACATCCAGGTCTTTATGTTTTGAGATGTAAGATGACAGGTGCTCGGCAAAGGTTACTCCCATCATGTCGGTTAGCGCGATGTCAATGTCATTGCTCTGTTTGCCCAGTAGCTTCAAAGCAGCAGATCAGCGCCATACTTCAAGTAAATCATGGTGGGCTGAAACGCACCTTATCTCTGACCCATCCGCCTGCGATTCTGCAAGACGTTGTTATCCCATGTTCGTCCCTCAAATTCCGCGTACACTCATCGAGTAAAGTGCAGACCTCGTTCTCTGCTTCAGTCAGTTCTATCTCGCTTTTAATACCTGAAGCAATACGAGCAGACGACATTCTTCTAAAGCTCGCCAATAAAACTCTCCGTGGACGCGATAGCAAAGAGATCAGTGCATTTTTTGCCAACATGCAAATGACAGACCGTGACTCGGAACTGCAGATGCGTAGGCGACTGCACGTGATGTTCGGGAGGTGCCGCACATAGCCTCCCACGCCTGAACCGAACCTTGTAACAGTTGGAAACCTACACAAAGGCAGCGACGCCCCGCCATCGGACTCTTGTACATTTTTTGTCCTGTTCACCCGTATTCCTTGACAGCTCTGCACAATTATGGGTGTTGTTAGCAGCTGCTGTGACTCTTGTTGTAAGCTCAGTATCTATTACTCCCATTTTGCGCCTCTAAAACCGTTCTCGTCAGTCCATTCACGCAGATCTCAACAATATGAACCCCTGCTGTTAGAGAACGAGCGGGAGGCAGTCGCCGACCTCCTGCAATTCCTCGAGAGTAGGCTTTCTTTTGATATCCAATATGCTGATTCAGATTTGACAGCAATATCTCCAGATCGAACCAACACCAATTTCTTCACTGGCGACCCGCTTTCTGCTCTCACCACCCTCTCCTTTTCTGATAATGTCGACCTGCAGCGTAGCGCAGCACTCGCCTTTGCAGAAATCACGGAAAAGGAAGTACGACCTGTGGGTCGAGATACACTGGACCCCATACTTTTCCTTTTGAGCAGTCACGATACCGAGGTCCAACGAGCCGCCAGTGCTGCGCTGGGCAACTTGGCTGTAAACAGTGCGTCAGACAGAGAACGTGTCCCATTTAATCTTGAGTTGACGCATTGCTATATTAGCTGACAACAAGCTGCTCATCGTTAAACTTGGCGGTTTGGAGCCTTTGATTCGCCAAATGCTCAGTCCAAATGTTGAAGTGCAATGTAATGCCGTCGGATGTGTGACTAATTTGGCGACGCACGGTTAGCCTTTACAGATGTTTTTCTATCTTATATTTGAACTGACAGATATGCAGACGACAATAAGACCAAGATTGCTAGATCTGGAGCTCTAGTTCCTCTCACTCGACTTGCACGGTCAAAAGATATGCGTGTTCAGCGTAATGCTACAGGAGCTTTGCTGAATATGACTCATTCAGGTACGTAGTGTTATATGCTCTTATTTTTCACGTCAAACCCTGTTTTTAGATGAGAATCGCCAGCAGCTGGTCAACGCAGGAGCTATACCTGTCCTTGTCAGCCTATTGAACTCTATGGATACTGACGTTCAATATTATTGCACGACGGCTTTGAGTAATATTGCTGTGGATGGTAAGCCATGCCTCTGCATCGAGTTTAGAATGGCAACTAACATGTGCCGCAGGTACAAACCGGAAGAAGTTGGCCCAGAGTGAACCTAAACTCGTCACGAGTTTAGTCGCACTCATGGATAGTCCAAGTCTCAAGGTGCAGTGCCAAGCTGCTTTGGCCCTCCGTAATCTTGCAAGCGACGGTAATTAAATGCTCTTGCTATAGTTGCGTTTAGCATTCATCTAATGTCAACCTTTAGAGAAATATCAGCTGGAAATCGTCAAGGCCGATGGCCTCACTTCACTTCTTCGTCTTTTGCAATCCACCTACCTACCTCTCATCCTCTCCTCCGCCGCATGTGTCCGAAACGTGTCCATACATCCGCAGAACGAATCGCCTATAATAGAATCAGGCTTTTTGCAGCCCCTGATTAATTTGCTATCGTTCAAGGACAACGAGGAGGTTCAATGTCACGCGATCTCTACTCTCCGTAATTTAGCGGCTAGTTCGGAGAAGAACAAGACGGCCATCGTAAAAGCTGGGGCTATACAATCGATCAAGGAGCTTGTACTCGAGGTACCGATGAATGTGCAGAGCGAGATGACAGCTTGTGTGGCAGTGTTGGCTTTAAGTGGTATGTCTCCTGCGTGGATTATCCTACATTGGGATTTACGCGATTTGCAGATGAGCTGAAAGGACAGCTATTGGAAATGGGTATCTGTGAAGCGTTGATTCCTCTCACAAATTCGCCAAGCTCCGAGGTGCAAGGCAATAGTGCAGCTGCTCTTGGCAACTTGTCATCAAAGGGTGCGTTATCGCGTATTTGTACTCCGTGGAAATTTGTTGACATGATCTCGAATGGAGTAGATGGACGGACAGCTTCTGACGATTACTCTGCTTTCAATGATGTCTGGGATAAGCCCGATGGTGGCATGCATAGATATTTATACCGTTTCTTGAGCAGCACCGATGCTACATTCCAGCATATCGCGGTGTGGACCATCGTGCAGTTACTCGAATCCGGAGGTACATGATTCTCCAACGTTGACTAATATAGACTGGACTAATTTTTTTTGGTTGAAACAGATCCGCAATTAATTAGTAATATCCGCAGCTCGACTCTGCTCAACCCTAGCATCCGACAACTGGCCAGCTCTCGTACGCCGACGCCAACTTCGTCCGTGGGTACACCTCGTTCGCATCACTCGCAGCATTCATATCAAGATACGGATACCGGTGAAGGGCAGGGTGAGATCCAGTTGTTGGCCAGACGTATTCTCGACTTTGTCGATGGAGAAGGTGACGGGGCGATTCCTCGGAGCGTCAGTGGGTCCCATATGCAGCCGGGATCATCGTTAGATGAGAGCTCTAGCGGGCGGGAGCACGAGGAGCTGAGAAGAAGTGTTAGAGAGGCGTTTGGTTCAAGCTCTCACGGACATTGAGTGTTTCGTGATTGCCCTGGAGGTTGATGGCTGTTGATCGGACTGACTTAGAGGTGTTGATGCTGCGAGCTTTTTTGGTGCGTGCACGCATCAGAGATGGTGCTGTTCTTGTCATGATTTGAAGTACTACTACCCGTTTCGATTTTTGTAGTATAGTTTTGCATGAGAGCTACCTTCCGTTCATTTTTTTCATTTCTTCCTTTCTGGCTTTAATGTGATGTTAGCATGGGGACTTGATTGTTTAGTTGATGATGACGATTCTTATGCTGTCCATAATATTATACAAATACATGTTTTATTCCACTGCAAGTTTGAAAGACACAAAAATAAAGCAGCGAAAGCCTTGAATGGGATTGTGGAGAAAGTGTGAGTGATGGGAGTGGCCAGATAAGGAAAGTGTGGCTGATAGACGCTTTTTGTTCTCTGTTCTTATTGTTCCTTTAGACCTGGACGGACATTGATCAAGACACGCGAATGTCACCGCTAAATACAATGGCTGGACATGATTCAAAAGCCAGATGGAGAGCTCAAAAACTGAATTTTGTATATTTTGGACCCCACATTCCACACGGCCTTGATCCGCAGAACCATGACGGTACCGCAGGCGCACCCCTGCCTCGTGTTTTGATAGAGCTTCACGCCGGCGCAAGGCAAATAAGAACGCTTCACTTGCGCGTTCCCCTCGCCCCATCTGCCTTTTTTACTTCATAGATAAGGTGCAGTGTTCCCCAATAACATTTCCATCCTCTTCAGCCCTAAACGTATTCGATCTCTCAGGAAAATTTCACCCCCCACTGGCTGAGCTGGGCTTTTTGATCTTCCCTCATTTTTTTCCCCTTCTGCTCTCTTTTTTCCAATCACTGGTGAAATTTATCAAGCTACCGTCTAGACGCCTCCATCGCCAGCTTTTTTGCGTTTAGAAACGCTCAAGAGCTTCTTACTTCTTGTCGCTTGCCGCATCCGCTCTTACATCCCTTGCCCACACCCTCCATTTCGACACACACGCCTCCAACCGAGCGAGCACCATGTACACCCACCTCTCCCTCCTCATCTTCCTCTTCCTCCATATCGCCCCCTCGCATGCCAATCTCATCTCACGCAGCTCCCACTCGATCAGACTGGGCACATCCCGGGCCCACAACGTCGCCCTCCGACACAGTGCAGGCCTTGCCCGGGACCTCCGCATCGCCTTCAAAGGCGTCCTTGTCGCCCAGCCCCCCACGTCCGACTCTGCCAACTCTGTCTACTGCGTGAGCTCGAGCAATGTGTCTGGAGGAGGAGGAGGGGGGGGGGAGTGGCAACAGCAATTCGACGAACATCACGCCTACGGGGACGACTTCCGCCGGGAGCCCGCAGGCGACGGGGACGAACGGGACTGCTGTGCCTTCCTCCCCGTGGAAGCTCCTGGATGCCTATCAAGGCCAGAATTTCTTCGATGGCTGGGGCTTTTTCACGTCTGCTGATCCGACCGACGGGAACATGCAGTATGTGGATCAGGGGACGGCAAATTCGAGCGGGCTCATCGAGATTAATGCACAGGGGAACGCGGTGATGCGGGTGGAGACGACGCCGATGGTGCAGACGAATCGGATGAGTGTGAGGATCATGATGCTGAACACGTTCATGGGTGGGCTTGTCATTATGGATTTGGTACATATGCCCACTGGCTGTGGCACTTGGCCTGCATTTTGGACGAATGGTAAGACGGCGGTGAAGGTAGATGGCGGATTATTTGAAGATGGCTAACGCTTGTGTGTTTTTTTGAAGGTCCCAATTGGCCTTTGGGCGGAGAGATCGATATCGTCGAAGGTGTGAATAACTATACGAACAACCAGGCCACAATCCACATGAACCCCGGTGTCATGCACCAAAGTTGATTGGTAGCATGGACAGGTGTCAATAATGAAGCGAATATTCAAAAAGACTCGCCTTTGCGCCACACAGGCACAGTGCCACGTGGAATAGTAATTAATATTGCCCTTTTTGAACTTGTGGCTGATCAGCACCACCTCTATTAGGCAATCCAGTCACGCTCACCTTTGCTTTTCCATCCGGTACTTTCGGCATTTCGGCATTTCGGCAAATTTTTGCGTCGCCACTGGCTACACATTGCATTGCGCCCTCGCTTTTGTCGTTTCCCTTACTCCCCTTCCTTTGCCTAGCCCCACCATGGGCCCCTTCCTCTCCTTTTTATTCTCACCTGACGGTCGTTTCTGGATCCCCATTCTAATCCACTTTTCCGTCACCTCCACCCTCCTCCTCCTCATTTTATTTGCACCCCCACCATTTCTGATGTCACCACTTCCTATCCGCTTCCGTCGCCGATCCGTTGACTACCATGTGCCACTGCTGATATCAGCAAAGCCCCGGCGGCCGGTTCAAATAGGGCAACAGGTCCATCTTTATGACGTTGATCTGCCATCATATACTATCAAAACATCGGTCGCTCGTCTTGCCTGGTTGGAGCGTGGGTGGGTAATTTTTGAGCTGGAGAAGGTTCATCCCCTTGCGTCGCCCATGTTCATCGCTGTCCCATTCACTTGGGTACACTTATCTTTTGTCCATCGTCTTCGCTACAGCTACACCTACCACACGCTGCCTGGGACTCACATGTTCCAAATTGGAACTACTCCTCTCCCTCCCTCGTTTGATCAGGTGGTCCAACACAACCAGTCCATTGGTAAGGCCATGGAACTGTCGGATTTGGACTAGGTGGTGGACCGGTGGCTCCAGTTTCTTTTTTTTCAGCAGAACATTCATTTACAGTGCGATTATTTTTGATTTTTGAATCATTTTTATGGACACATATTTTTTTAGAATGCCTGACTGACAATAAAGGAACTGTGTTGATACTGATAGTGTTTTGCCTTGTCCTTTTTTTACTGCATCTTCCCATGACATCATGATTTTCCTGCTCTCTTTTTGCTATTGGACTTTACTTTATGGCTGTACAAACCTGTGACATTACTCACAGCATTCATTGTTCTATCTCTTTCTTTTCCTTTTTTTGACAATCTTATGCTGTACTACCTACGCAGGATTCGTCAGCATACATTCCTTCCTTCATGTTCTTTCTCATTCTTTTTGCACAGCTATACTGTGCATAGCCTACTTTTCTTTTACTATATAAACCCCTGTATTTTACCTTGTAAAGGAACAAGAAATCCTATCCAGACTTCTTCTCTACTCTCAAGTTCACTACTCTACTACTTGTGATCCAGAGTGGTCACAACACTTCCCACTTCTACCACTGTTAACTGCTGTCATCGTCACTCGTCACTTTTTGAAAGTGATTGTCATCCCTTTCGATTAGAGTCCTTCTGAGCACTACAGTTTGTGCGTCAGGAGCCTGCTATCACTGGGAACCTCGTCATATTGTTGTTCTCAAACCTACCTTGTGCTACGATTAGCAAGGTAGTGCTCGTCTATACTCGTCACCAAGCCCCTATCCTTCTATAAATTCAACTATCCCTCCTCCTCAAAACCCACACTCATACACCTCTGGGTTTTACTTTGAAGGATCTTTATACGTACCACCCCACGAACAACCAGACCACTCCACTGTTCTAGGAGGCAAAGCCCATAAACAAGTTCCGTGGAATCTGGGAGGATTGTGTGTTAGTTTGTTTTGTGTGTGGTTTTCTAACTGCAGTTCTCATCATCGACACCGGGTGCTCCATACCCTCGTCCAACTCCACTGTGCTCGATATCACGGGCACCGTCGTTGGTGGTACGGACTGTTCAGCTGCACAAACGGGCAACCAGGGGTGCGTGGTGCGGTCGAGCTCTGATATTTCTTTCGGGACTGGGTTTAATGGCATCGGCGGTGGAGTCTATGCCAGTACGTGTTTTTTTTGTATCACGCCGATTTGTGGAAATGAGTATTGACCGGGCTGTTGGTGGTGTACAGTGCTTTGGGACAATTCAGGGATTTCAGTGTACTTCTTCCCTCGCGGGTCGATACCAGCAGATATCACTGAAGGTGCTCCCCAACCTACGAATTGGACAACGCCGATGGCGAATTGGACAACGCCGATGGCGACCTGGCCTTCGACCGACTGCAACCCATTCGAGTTCTTCTACACCCATTCCGCCATTTTTGACACGACATTATGGTGAGCCTTATTTCTTCGCCATTCGAAGTGCTCAATGATGTGAATTTTGTGTGTGTGCAGTGGTGATTGGGCGGGCGGTGTGTGGGGCTCGACGGGTGTGCCGGGGCAATCGCAGAGCTGCCAGCAAGAGACGGGGTTCGCGACCTGTGAAGAGTTCGTACAGGCGAGTGGGGCGTCGTTTAGCGAGGCTTGTGAGTCGCGTTCATGTGTGTTTCAGGTGACTCGACTCGATGGCTGATGGCACCCTTTCTTTTTTTCTGTGTTTTGTTCGCTTTTCACAGACTGGGAAGTCTCGAGCGTCAAGATATATCAGACGCAGTCATGATTTCACGATCACACTCACCCTATAGACGAACCTACAATTCTCGATTCTGGATTGTATCATTTACTTTCAAAGGGGCATATATCTGTATCATTAGTACGTGTATGATGGGTATTTAATTTAGGGAAATATACACGTAGACGCTTTTATTAGACATCATGCATGTGTGACTTGAAGCTTGAAGGATGATCAAAACTGGTTAGTGCCAGGAACTCGAAAGCTGTGCCGCACTGACTGCGATCTCATGGGTCTTTGTCAGAAAGTCGGACTCGTCATCCCTCTCGCGTTCTGACTTGGGGGATCATTCTGGAAGATGCGCCTGCGTTCGACACAGATCAAGACGCGCGTCGGCAGCTCGAGGAGGAGCATACGCATCCTCGAGGATGGCATTCGTCAGCGCTACAGACGTGCGGTATAAAAACCATGGTGCGGGGACAGGCAGAAACAAACAGTTGAAGTTATCTCTTTCATCAATCACACCTACCCACCTATCATCATCATCCATCCTCCACACAGGCCATGTTCGTCCTCACCTCCGTCCCCATCCCCGTCCCCATCCCCGCTCTGCACCCCCACTTCCACCCCCCCTCTCCCATCGACAGCAGCCCGCGCAAGCGATACATGGCCGCAGCCCTCGCCGAGGCGCGCCTCGCCTCGATGCAGTACGTATGGGCTGCACTAGCGCGCGACGAAGCCGTGCGGCGTGAGAGGCAGCTGAGGGAGGAGGCGCACAGGCGGGAGTGGATGCGCGAGGCGGCCGTTCGAACTCTGAGTGAGCGGTGCGAAGAGCATGCGAGGCGGCAGAGGACGGCAAGTATGGCGAGTATGGGTGCTTTCCCCATGGACGGCTTTTATGAGTGTCGGTATGAGCCTGCTGTCGTGCATGCCCAGCCGTGTTATGGTGCACCGTGGCTGCAGCAGCGGCATGCATTTTATCCCGAGGAGCGTGCGCGAGGCTATGGGCATGGCTTGCACCATCGTCGAGAGCACGAGCACGGACGGCGGGTCCACTTTGAAGAGCCCAGAGGATGGCAGTGTCCTGATCATTACCGCGAAGAGTGGCGAAACCAAGAGGGTCTGGTGAACGCTTCTCATGAAGAGCAGGATATCACATTAGAGCGATTGTTTAATCTTGTCTTTGGCGGTGGACCAGCACGCGATGCAGAAACTGTTAGTGTTCTGTCTCGTTTTACTATTCTAAAGCTTATTTCATATTTGCAGGCTCAACTAAAGGCTACTCCTCCCGCTCAGAGTACTAGTCCGGCTCAGAGATTTTCGAGTGAAGCCCGTGTTCCAGCCTCGAATGGCTCTCATGATCACCACGCACCCCTTAATCAAGATGTATTCGAGCAAGAGCTCCGCGACACCCTCCAAGCCATCGTGCTCTCCCTCTTTACCGCCTCTGACGAAGGACAGCTCCAAAAAGAAACCACCAAACCTACGAGCGGGAGCAGTTCTTGTGCAGCGGAAGGGAAAGGCAAGGGTAAAGTCCCCGCCGCCCCTGCTGAGGACGCTTCGCCGAAAGAGCCCACCTCGAAGGACGTCGCGTTTTCCCTCGAGACCATCCGCAATGTAGGCGCGTTGTTCGAGGCTATTCAGTCCGACGTTGAGTTTCCCCGCGACCTCAACTTTGACCGTGCCTCTTCTGTGCTCGCCTCCGCACCCGACTCTACGTACAAGCTGGCGTATACGTCCCGAAACGCACCTGTGCGGTACTTTGAGCACGCGATGAGTGCGTTGCTGACGCAGCTAGACGCGGTGGACAGTTTTGGGAGCGAGGAGGTGCGGGTGGAGAGGCGAGTGGTGGTGAGCAAGATAGAGAAGGCGCTGGAGGAGGTGGAGAGGGAGGTGGAGGACAAGTTGGGCAAGTTCAAGTGGAGGGAGACTCGTGAGAAGAGCGGGAGCGAGGCTGGGACCAGTCGGGCGGAGAACGCAGAGCCGGTGCCGATCGTCGCCGCATCTGGCACCGTCCCACAAGCGGCGGACACTTCCATATCTGGCCCCGAAGCGCCGCAACCCGTCGTCGAGGTCGATATTAATACCAACGAACCCGATGCGCCGCGACCACCCACCCACTCCCCGCCGTCTTCCGGTCCCGATCACAGGCAGGCGGAGATCGAACAGCGAATCTCTCACCAGATCGCATCTGCGCCTTCTTCTTCTCCGTCGTCGTCGTCGTCTGAGCTGGCCTCGGTCGGCGATGTGGATCTCGATCGCGACGAGCCTCTACCTCCGGCGTCCTCCGTCTCGCCTTCTTCGACCGGTTCTCGCTCTGGCGTCGATAGCTTCCTTCTCCCCGCACCGTCGCGCGCCGCAGATGTGCATGACGAGCTCATCGTCGTAGACAGCGACCAGGACGGCGATGCCTGGTCTGAAGTAGAGGCTTAGAGTTATCCTGTAGCACGTTTACCTGTACGACTATCTACTATTTATTCTCATGTCTCTCGGACTTGTACGCAATCATCGTCCACTTCTCGTCGTGAACCTCGCCGATGACATGAGCTGTGCAATGAGATAGATGACTTTAACGTTAACATGGCCGCTACCAACAACCCAACATTCTCCGAGATAGCACAAAGCGG